GTGAAATCTCATAAATCTCAAAGCTGGGTGTGTGATGTTCTATGAAAAGGAACATTCCTTCTCCTGGAACAACGCGGAGAAAGGCACCGAGTTGTAGGGAAACAAGCCAAACTCAAGTTCCTCAGATACTCAAGCGGAGCACGGTCTTGGCTCATGGTGCCTTTGGCCCGGTAGTGCCTTTCCTTTGAGAAACTCAACACAACTTCAGAGAACTCCTCCTTTGTCCTACCACATGGTGGAGGTGAGCATTCTAGCTCTAGGGTATCCCCAGGGAAACTGAGGCACAGCAAAGGTTGGAGACACTATGTCTTAGGCAGAGAGTAGCTGGACAATAAGTGGCTTCAATTTATGAATGAACAGTAGAAGGGTTTAGGTATTGTAATAAATTTGAAATTATAATTGGGACCCACGTCCCCACTTCTCGTTCCTTACTCACCAAAAGCAGATAAAAACACTTAGCCTAAGTTTGAGAGACAGACACATGCCTAGCTTATATTACATTATACTCATTCTTTCGTTTTATGTTTGGCATGTACTTTTAAGAATGCTCGAGTCCATCTCAGGTACGTGTCTACCCCTTACTACACTGGGTCTGAACTTAAGTTGAATGGCTAGAAGGCAGTCTCAGCCCTATATGGTTATAGGAACTGAACCCACATTGGCTTTGAATCCTTTGTATTCTTAGGAACAATAATAGCTACAGCAATATTTCTGTTACATCCACTTTGTGCTGGGTTAGAGCCTTTTCATACATCCTCTTATTTAGTCCTTATAACAGTCTAGCTAAACATTATCACCATGTTACAGATGAGAAAACTAAGGACCGACTGGAGAGTTTTACAAGTTGTCAAAGTGAATCTAACCACTCCTAAAGTGAGTGGGCCAGAATTTGAAGCTGAGTGTGCTAGACTCCAAAATTTATGCTTTTTGTATAACTCTGTCCTTCTGCTGGATTTCTATTGCTTGGCCTATGAAACTGGCGTGGCCCAGTGTAATCACTAACAGGGAAGAGTCAATGTCAAGTACAACTAGGCATTTGCAAATCCAAATCAAGTGAGACTCTAAATAGCAGGGACATGAGAACTTGAAGTGTCCCTAAGCATCACTGTGCCTTGCTGAGTGTCCTTGCCTACAACCACTTTCCTTCTCTGGATATCTGTCCCCTCATTGGAACAATCTCTCAGAACTGCCTCATGGGGACACAGGGAAGAAGGCAGGTAAGAAGAGGTTTCCATATGCAGAAGGGCTCAGGTGAGACCAAAAGACCTCAGGAGGAGAGGTCTAGTCCAAAGAGGCCAAGGAGAGCTTTATCAGAAGGAGCAGTAATAAATGAGCTTTTACAAATAAGAGATAAAAGAGGCCATGTTATTTTTAGAAAATAATTCGTGTGGGTGCTTGCTGCCTCTTCCCTCCATGCCAATTGAGCAGAATGTGGGTCAAGCAGAAAAGCAATTACCCTTCGAGCTAACTGGAGGGCACTGTTGATTAGAGGATATTCCTTGTAAAATTCCACTGCCACCTTCCTTCTCTTAGAAAGGTGACTTCTCAGAGGCCATCTGTATGCAACCCGTGACTTTCTTTTTTTCTCTGCCATCAGAAGGAGTCCAGCCAGCCACACTTCCCTTGTTATCTTTAGGGCTCATCCTAAGTGATTCCAGGAGATGTCAGAATTCTTGAGTAAGAGCAGGCCCAGACTGCCTAATGCATCTTTACAGAAACCTGCATCAAATGATGCAAAAGGAGGACATGACATTCCCATCAGCAGAGCGAGACAAAGCCGCATGTCCTTGACACTCGCAGGGCACGATGCTTAGCGCTGATCCTTTGATCCACGGGTCGGCTCTTCCTCACACTTGTAAAATAATGGTGAGGTTGCCTGGTCTTAACCCTGATGTTCTAACTATTTTTCATGTTTAAAAAAAGAGATGTTAACAAGCTATGTAAACTAACAAAAACATCAGTTCTTTCGCAGTTGAAAAAAACAAATGGAAGTATTGCTTAATAAATGTAGTTAAGCTGGAAGACAAATTTTTTTTTTTTATCAAACTGTGTCGTCTTTTTTTAGATGTGTTACCATCTTTATTGATCAAAATACCTGGGCTCTGGCTTCAGCTCTGGTCTTAAATTGCTATTTAGCTTTGTACCAGCCACTGGATCTCTTTGTGTCTCAGCTTTTCCTTCAGGACAAACAGGACAATGGTACTCTTCTGAGACAGCACATGCTTGTCTGGTAAGCAATGTCGATTCCCTCGAAAGAAGGATGCTAGGATCACGCCACTCTTCCTGCCTGCAATACGGTTCATTTGTTCCACTCGGCTTCCACTGCGAAGTGCACAGACTCTTACAATGGTTGGCTTGAGCTTCCTTTTCATGTGTATCTGTTCTCTCCCCCTGCTGGACTCAAAACTCCTTGAGGACAGGACCACATTTTAAAATTCTAGTATGTTCCATGATACCTTGCATGGCACAGATACTCAGCAAGTATCTGTTGATTATGTCTTTGCAGGGTTTTTTTTTTTTTTTTTGTATTTATGTGTTCTTCAACTCACCTGAGGTCAGGATGATGTCTTCTACTAACATCAGGAATTAATAAAACATTAAAAATTTTTTTCAACATATTTCCTATCCATTCCCCCATTTCATTTATCACTCCCGTAAGGTTGGCAGGGCAGACAGAACTGTGGGGATGTCACCCGGATGAACCACTTGGAAGCCAGAGAGGAGGGATGCATGCTGAAAACCTCCCTGCATGTCGGAGGGTGGACAAAATCCTGGGCCAACTGACTCAGTGGCTTGTTCCATTTGTCCCCTCTGGCGGCCATTTCCCTGCAGCAGCCAGCTGCTGATTCTGGTCGCATCCCCGCACCTGGTAGCATCAGGAAGTGCAGTGAGACATTACCTCATGGTTAGCGAATCGGATATCCCGAGAAAATATAGTTGCCACCCAGTCACACCCTAGCTTGACGTCAATGTTCTGGGCTAGTTTCTCTAGGGTGGGCAGGTGGCTGGCTTGGAAGTGGTAAGCCAGGGTCACGTGCAGCTGCTTCTTATGAGGCTCCACGTGTACTTCTGGGAAAAAGGAAGAAGAAGGTCAGTTATTAGAAGGTGTAATCATAGCCATGGTGGAGACTTATGGAAGAACATAGAAAGGAGCCCTGATAAATTCTGTTTCCCAGACAACAAAGAAGATAGTCCCTTGGTTAGACAAAAGCTGTTTCTCTCCCTCACAGCACCAGAATAAAGTGGCAGGGGGAAGAGCCTCTGAATCAGCCCCCCCATTCAAGAGACAAAGAGCCACGCGTGCAGATGGCTCTCCTGCAGGAGCTCTGGGCCGGCTGGGGCCTCCTTTTGGTTGACTCCCCTTCCACCCCTCCAGTTGATGACTGCCAGCCCCACCATTCACATGAGGACCCGAGGCCTAAAGGGATAAAATAATTTATGTCAAAATACAAAGTCCATTTTGTAACTGTGTGGCTCCCAAGGCTATACTGTCTTCATTTTGGAATCAAGTCTCTTAGCTTCTGGGTGAGTCTGATGGAGAAATGAGAGAGGAAAGATGGATATTTTCAAAGTTGAAAGCAGGATTTCTCAACAGCATTGTGGGTTGAATAATTATTTGCCGGGGCTGTGGGGAGCTGTCATGTGCATTACAGGGTGTTTAGCAGCATCCTTGGCCTCGACCCACTAGATGCCGGTAACACCCACCAAGTTGTGAAAATGACTTCAATGTGGCCGCATGTCCCTGGGGAGCAAGGTTGTCCCTGGTTGTGAAGCACTGGCTTCAAGTATATAGACTGCTACTCTACGATACCTCAAAAAACAAAACAAACAAATCCACCTATATAAGGGAATGACTTTTATTTCTCTTTTGTACTTTTAATGAGGGAGAATCATCTGCTGCCCAAGCTGGAATAATGAAGAAGATGCAACTAGAAGAAATTAGGGGCCGGGCGCAGTGGCTCATGCCTGTCATCCTAGCACTGTGGGAGGCTGAGGCAGGAGGATTGCTTGAGGTCAGGAGTTGGAGGCCAGCCTGAGCAAGAGCGAGACCCCGTCTCTACTAAAAATAGAAAAATTAGCCTGGCGTGATGGCACGTGCCTATAGTCGGGAGGCTGAGGCAGGAGGATCTCTTGAGCCCAGCAGTTTGAGGTTGTTGTGAGCTAGGGTGACACCACGGCACTCTAGCCCGGGCAACAGAGTAAGACTCTGTCTCAAAAAAAAAAGGAAAGAAAGAAATTAGGGAATTTGGGAAATCAAGGGGCTTGGGCAAGTCATGTGGAGAAATTAGTGGCCAAGATAGAACCAGAAGTTGGACTTTTTAGTTTTAAGTGCTTTTTCTGTTAGATTGTATTGCATTTCTTTGGTGTAAGGTCCATGAGATAAGATGTCCGTCTCTTCTTCACACTGTATCCCCCCTCAGCATATTGGGTAGGTTTTCAGTACCTGTTAAATGGATGAATGCACATGGATGAATCTCCTTAAGTCACCCAGAGTGGAGGACGACACTAACTGTATTTGCTGAAAGTATCTGAGTCTGCCAACACCTCTAGAATACCAAGGCATAAGTTCTAGGGCAAAGACACGATGGCTTGCTTTCCACACTAGATTATCAGGAGCTGGACCAGCTACGCTGGGCAGGGTCACCCAGTTCTCCAGATCACCACCAGGGGGCCACACAAGGGCAGAGAAACGAAGCTGGCGGAGTTCCAGTGACAGCAGAATCTTAGACAGGGACTGGTTTTATCCCCTTCCCACGTGGAAAGCTGGGGCCTCGACTTGTCACTCAGTGAACACTCTAAATATCTGCTGCAGTCCTGGCTGAGACCCACTTTTCTCATTTGCGAAGGATTTGGGTTTTGTGGCTATGGCATTAGTTTTGGTTCTTGTGGGGATTTAGTGGTTCTGACAATAACTACTGTGGGATGAAGAAAAAGCCATTTCCTTGAGACTGAGGGATAAGAACAGGAAATAACTTGCCTCTCCGTTATGCTATTTCTTTGAAATATTAAGCTCCTGTGAAATGTCAGGCTCCACCGAAGTCAGAAACCAAAGACTAGACCCTGGGGGAGAAGAGGAGCGTGGGGGGAGTCTAAGGAGGTTCCTCCCCCAAGGGCCAGAAATGGCTTCCAGGTCTGGAGGTCCCTCTGAGAGTAGAGACCTCACTGTGTCCCTGCGGTGATGCTGAGCCCTGCTCACACTCTTCCCAGAGTGCAAAGCCCTCGTTGGGACTTCTCTGGCACAGAGGAACACTGAGCAAAGGGCCTGAGCTAGTGATGACAACGGCAGAGGGAAAGATGGCGGGTGAGGTGTAGACCCAAGGCCAGGAGGCTAAGGAGCAAATTGAGTGGCTTTGCTCAGGCCTTTCCCCTCTCTGGCCTGCCATGAAATGGGGGGTGTGCAAGCTCTGGGTCTCCCCCCGCGTTGCATTCAACTTGGCTCCAGGTGTGCACTCATGGCCTCCACCCTGCTCAGGTCCGCTGCTCACAGCCTCCCATTCCTGCCTGCGCTCGGGCTGCCCGCCCACCTGGAAGCCCCCGCCTCCGTTCTCCTGATCAACATCTTCTCAGGGCCAGTTTTCTTCCTTCCATGAAGATCAAACCACTCCACCTGTGATGGACTCTCTCTTCTCAGAGCTATTTCACACGGCCCGAACTGGGTTTCCCGACTGTGCCTCTGGTCAGGAGAAGCCACTTCCTATTCTCTTCTCGGTTGCATTCCTCATGGATAAACACATAGTAGGTGCCCAGTAAGTACCTGCTGCTTGTGATTTCATTCTCGAGTGAGCCAACAGAGGCTCCCTCCCCTGCTGGGTTATCTGTTTGTCCTCGGGTAAAAGGCTCTCTTTGAGCTGAGTGAGCTTGTCTGCCCCTGCAGTCAGACAGGACGGCTTTGCAAACTTCTCCCTCTTGTCCCCTCTACGTGCCTCCTGCCTCGAGCACCCCTTTAAGCTAATTCTTTTGATGGGAAATCTCAGTTGGCTTGAACTGAGAGCTCCATGAAAAGGACATCTTGCAGGGGTTACATTTTTGGACAGGCTTTTGAGGCTTAGGGGCCCATCTAATGGGTTTCAGAAAGTTGAAGGGCATTGGCTCAGTGGATTTTATGATAATTTAATACGAAGTAGTTCTACTCTGCTCTCTGTCCCATGCTGCCCCCTGAGAAAAGCTTGGGGTCCCCACGAAGTGAACAGTAAGAGCCAGATGAACACCCACATAGGTGGGAGTTCTGGAGGAAGAAAGGAAGGCTCCTTAATTCTGAACTGGGAGGAGGTGGCGGTGGTGCAGAGAAACACACTCTAGCTCAAAGCGGACAGTCATGGCATCCTTCAGTTTGCATGCCTAGGGAGCAAGCCTAACATAGGGAGTGAGCCCCGGACAGCCTCTCCAGAGGTTAGCAGAACTGTAGTTGAATATTTTTACAAGGTTGCTAAGAGGTGTGGGGTGCTGCAGCGTCCTTTGTCATGTGTGCCATTCTTGCGGGGCCCTCCACCTCTTGACTCCGTCCCGCTCCTCTACAAACATCTCCTATCCATTTTCCTTCCCAGCTCTTTTTGATTCACAGGGCCCAGGGCTGGCTCGGTAGCCGTGTTTGCTCACCGGTCTTGGATGCAGCCTCCGCAGCAAAGTCAGCGGCAAACTTCTTGAGGACCTCAGCGCTATCTTCCTTCACGAAGAGGCCGATGAAGTTGGAGGAGGTATATAGCTCCAGGGGCAGCGGGGCTGAAAACTTACATTTCCAGCGACTGACGGTGGTCTGCAAGGCTTCCCCCAGGGCATCCACCTTGCTGTCCTCGCACTGGCAGGGGAAAACCAGCAGGCTTCACTCAGAGACAAGGAGAAATGGAAGTCTGCTTCTACTCAGCACTGGCATTCCCCGCCCAGAGACTGGAGGCTGATAACACAATTATTTAACTATCACTCCTGTCTGTGCGGAGGGAGAACTGCAGATTCCCAATTATCCGGACACAGACTATTCAACTGGTAAATTAAACTGGGGAACGCAAGACCTCGTCTCTCATTTCCTTGCTCTTTTTTTTTTTGAGACAGAGTCTCACTGTTTTGCCCGGGCTAGAGTGAGTGCCATGGCGTCAGTCTAGCTCACAGCAACCTCAGACTCCTGGGCTCAAGCGATCCTCCTGTCTCAGCCTCCCGAGTAGCTGGGACTACAGGCATG